TGCCCTTGATTTTTTCTATTTTTTTTTCTCCTATTCTTTCAGTGCAGTTGTTATGAAAAGGAGTAATGCATCTTGAATCTCACTCCATGCTTGTACCCTCTCTGGTTGGTTCATCGGCTTCATTAACTGTCTCTGACGTTTCCTCTAATGATTTCCAGGTCCATCATTGTGTATGTCTGCTTTTGTCCTCTAGTTGAGCTATTGCGTATCTGTTTTGCTATATTAAGCATATTGCACATGAAGGTTGCCTGTTATTGCAGTTGTTAAACCTTTGGCTTTGTGTTCTATATATTTTTTTCCGTCCTTTCTTAGCTGACATGTCTGTCATGGTACAGTACTTCTACAGCATGCAGATGTGAATTTCTAGCATTATATTCTATAATACAAATCAATAATCAGTAAATCAGTAAATATATATTTAATATATAAATATACACAACTGTTATAAAGTCAGTGAGATTATTTCCTTTGAATACTTTTAGGGTATTTTTTTAAATAACATTTTATTAAATTGATCGAAAGTGACACAGACATGTATGTCAGAAATAGTTTTTATGTCTTCATTGAGGCTACGTCTACATTAATCTGGATACATTTGAAAACGCCGTTTTATTTTAAAGCGCTCCACCAGTGTGGAAGAGAAACTTTTGGAAAACGCATGAAAACGCTAGATTCACCTTACTGCGCATGCGTAAAACCTTACAAAAGCTCACTGAGATGATACAGACGGAAAAATAAATAATAAAGTTATCGCGCAATTCTTCTGACAGGATTTTATTTAGCAAAATATCTCATCATTCACTGATGCGTCCAGGTCACACTCAGTCACCATATGTTTGATCTAAAACGCAACTGCTCTCATGTATTGCCGCAGGACAGCAAATGTGAGTACATTTTCTGTCATCTTTGCAGGACTGTGATATGAAAAGTGTGCAAACTATGTAACACCTTTTTACAAAATGTGAAAGTGAATAGCACATAACAGGCACAATACCGGTATATAAAATTAATGTCTATTGGTTCAATATGCGTCACATGACTAAACTTACGGTTTCACAGTCCACACTACAACGTGAAAACGGCGTTTTCAAATTTATCCACTTTGGAGGCCAAAACGGAGAGAAAAAGATGCGTTTGAAACGAAAACGTATTAGTCTGCCATTTTTGTTTAGACCAATGCAAAAATTCATTTTCTTAAAGGGTTTAAAGTCTTAAATGTTTTACAAAACTTTTGTCAACTTTATTTGAATAAAGTGTCGTGTTAGTAGATGCATGTTATGCAAACAAAAAGTACATAGTGCTGCTAATATATTTGTTGCTTGTTGTTGTTTGATGTAATATTTGGTGAAATGATTTCAGTGTGTGTATCAGTACTTTTTGAACATTTCCAGCACATTTTGACAATACCTTGATGATAATATTGAAAATTGTGATCATTTTGGTCACTATATTCATGAAATGAAATTTTCATATTGTCTCATCTCATTGTATCATATTGTATTGTATTTTTTTTGTAATTTATATTTAATTTAGCATAGGACTGCTGTGGTATGGTCACATGACATCATCCCTAGATTTGGTGTAAAATGAGACCTGACTTTCGCTGTACGGATGCAGTGTTTGTCACTGCTTTTTCTCCTCTTTATTCTTTGTTTTGGTTTTCATTTGTAGTTTTACTGCATCTCATTTCGAGGGAAGCAGTATGTCTTGAGACCATTGCGTGGTTTGTTTTTTGTAGCTAGTTAATTATTTATTCCCCTTACATGCAACCTGCCCTTGATTAATAGACTTAGATTAGTGTGACATGCACTCTGCCCCTTGTTTGCTGCTAGGATGTTCTACTCCTGCCAGGATGAATGCATTGTTTTAAACACTGAATGAGCATGTGTGTGGACACCTTTAATGTTAATGGAGACCTTTGGGGCAGAACTGCTTTCGGGAGCACCTCCGATTAATTGCACGTCAGCTGGACTCTCACATGTGCGGAAGGACCCAATCCATTTTCCCCTTTGAATCAGATCAGCATTTCACATTTGCACATGTACTCCTTAACCTGGCACTGTGATGCATTAGAAAAGAGGATGAGGACTGGTACAGATAGTATTTTATTGAGGAGGGAAGGACACAGCTCTACAACAAGAATGTCAGCTTCTTTTGGGACTTTGGTTTCTAACAGCTATCCATTTGTTGTGGATTAGAAGTTTAACCAGTAGAGCAGGGGTGTCCAATCCTGCTCCTGGAGGGCCAGTGTCCTGCAGAGTTCAGCTCCAACCCCAATTAAACACACCTGAACCAGCTAATCAAGATCTTGCTAGGCAAACTAGAAACTTCCAGGTAGGTGTGTTGAGGCTAAAAGTTGGAGATAAACTCTGCAGGACAGTGACCCTCCATGACCGAGTTTGGACACCCCTGCAGTGTGGTATAGCATAAGAGTATAACCATATCAGAGTACCTAAAACTATATAACCATGTAAATGGGTTATAATTTGTATATATATATATTGCCATAAGTCAGCTCTGCTTGTCCTGAGGCTTCCTACACCGTAAACTAAACACAGTAACGAACAATGACGTCGATTTTACCATATAAATCCGAGCGCAAATCCGAAGAGGAAACATTGGAAGAACTATTCATTAAACCCGAACCTGCATCGCAAGGACGACTCGAACAGGACGTGTCTTAGTGATACGCTACTCAGTTTGAGGTAGCCTACATTATGCACCTGTAATTCCTCCCCATCAACATTAACTAGGGCATGTCCATCAATAAACCGATTGTTTTACTTGTACTTATTTATTTACAGAGTATTTTTCTAATTTATTGCGGTGAACATGTGGAAACTGTATCAATAACAGTGCATACATTAGCCGAGCTCTAGCGTGAATGACTGATGTAACATAAACGTTGGTAAAACAAATCTTGCTCCATGCTTAATCTTTCCTCAAAGTAGTGAGAACGACAGACAGACAATCTGCATTAATAGACAGTTTTAGGTAATAGTGTCCCACAGCTGATCAGCAGAAGTATTTCAGTAAGACAGTGATAATGTGAGTTAGCCAGTTAGCAGGAGACCAGCACAATATAAAACTCAACTAAGTATTTTGAACACCATCTTTCAAGAGCAACCGGTTTAGGAATCCTGCACTGAACTCCGAGATTTGAGAAGCAGTCGTCAGTAAAATAAAGGGAACACAGCAAAAGTTTAGGATTACACTGCTGTGGTATCGTGGTCATCCTTGGGCAGTGAAAAAAAAACTGGCTTTAACTTCATTGTAGAGCACAGCGTCTTCTGGACATGATGCTATCCAGTATCCACAGGAATCAGCTGCAGTGTTTGAGGTTCAAGTTTTCCCTGGTGTCTGCGCGCGCATAATAAGTGGGCGGGCAATATGCTAATGTTTCGTCTTGGCGTCACGACGAAACGGCTTAGGACTCGTTTGAAAAACGATTAATTTCATTGACTCAGAGTCGACTCTTACTTTTGAAAGACAACTTTATATACGGTGCACATTCAGATTTAAAACTTTGCAGGATGTTTTCATTACACACTACACGAAAGGTCATTTTCAAATATCCATAATAGGGGCCCTTTAATATAACTCCGATTGTATTCTTCTGAAAGAAGAATGTCATATACACCTAGGATGACTTGCGGGTGAGTGGGCTAATTTTCATTTTTGGGTGAACTATCCCTTTCAGCTCTTTTGCTCTAGATGTTAGAGATAACAAATGGTGGAGTCTTTTGAGGTTTTTACCACCCGGATTCTCGCTCTACCTGGATGCCCATGCATCACCTTGGGGAGTTCTAGGTCCGTTCCAACCAGCTCAGCATTTTCCAGAAGCCCATTAGATACTTAACAATCTCATCTTGTTCAGCATTGATTGCAACATTGACCAGATTAGAAATACAGTAAGACAAGCATTTTTTCTCTATAAATTCAAAATTATAGAAATAATAAAGAGCTTGAATAAGACGAAAAGATTAGAATTAAGAGACTTAATAATAAGGGTGCTCAATAAAAGGGCTTTTTGATTCTGACATGTGGCTGTTTTTGTGTGCAAACCAATTAATCAAACCTAACCCAGAGTTCAGGGTTAATAATGTATGTCCATTGGCGCGCTAGCTTGCACCATGGTGGAAGACTTATACAATTGGTTTAAGATGGTACGTTTAAACTGTATACATCTTTTAAGACTGGTTTCTTTGTTTGTTTGGACAATGCACTTAATTTCCTGTAATGTTGTTATAGTAAACTATGTGTAATCATGGTTCCAGAAGTCTCTTTTCGGTTTCACTGTTCTAAAATGACCCAAAGTCAACTTTTTATACCAATGCATTACTATTAATGTTGCATGGCTAAATAAACAAAATAAAGTCTTTTAAAGTCAGATTTTTCAGCTGATTGGCCCATGGTTGGCGAACATGACGGGATACATTAAAGATGTGCATCATTGCAGTGTTTACAGACTCAAGTTGTTGCGTCATTGGCTTCCAATGTAGACACGGTTTATGAGCAGCAAGCTGTCAATGTGGACAGACCAGAACTGGAAATTTGCCCTCTGCTCACGGCCATCATGGCATCTCATAAAGCAGGAAACATAAGCAACAGAGACCTTACTTTTTCCCACATCCATATCTAGTTGATGGGAAACAAGCTTTGCACAGTTCATGCTGAAACGGATCTACAAAAATCCAATTTAACTGGATTCCAAGCCACATGAGACTTGGATTGATTTAGTAAAAATCTAATTTCATGCTTCTTTTTTTGCGCTATTGAGGCTACAAAAAAACTAAATGGATTTGAGTCGGATGTGCCTAAAAATCGGCTTTAGGCGGCCAGTGTTAACAAATAATCATCTCAACTTGGCACACTTGTGTATGAGATAAATGTACAGCACTAGATCTGCATTGTTTATATATTTGTCTATATTATAATATCATTTTATATCATTATTTATTGAGTTTTAATTCCTTTTTTTTTCTTTGTTTCTCTTTCAGCATTCACCATGATGATCATCCTGGCTTTGATTCGCATTGGCAAGGGACACGGTGAGGGCCGCCCATCTGTGGCTCAGGTCTCGGGTGTACCCAACCTCTTCGGGGTCTGTGTCTACTCCTTCATGTGCCAGCACTCACTGCCCTCACTCGTGACGCCCATCTCCAACAAGCAGCGCATGAGCGCCCTGGTCATGGCCGACTACATCCTCATCCTGTGCTTCTACGCCCTGCTGTCCCTCACAGCCATATTCTGCTTCGACAGCGCTCTCCTGCGTGACATGTACACTTTAAACTTCACAGATAACTGTGACGTTTTGGGCATTCCAGTGTTGCGCTACTTCCTGGGCCTCTTTCCCGTCTTCACCATTAGCACCAACTTTCCCATAATAGCCGTCACACTACGCAACAACTGGAAAACTCTCTTCCATCGCGATGGCGGCACGTACCCTTGGGTGGTGGACCGTATCGTCTTCCCACTCATTACTCTAGTGCCGCCCATTATCGTGGCCTTCTGTACTCACGATCTGGAGTCGCTTGTGGGTATTACTGGAGCATATGCCGGAACGGGCATTCAGTATATGATCCCGGCTTTTCTGGTGTATTTCAGTCGGCGTCATCTAGAGCCCGTGTTGGGAAGGGATGCTGTAAATAAGCACCGGTCACCTTTCCATCATGCTTTCTGGGTTTGGTTTGTGATATTGTGGGCAACGTTCTGTTTAATGTTTGTAACGGCTAATATTGTCCTTACAGAAACCAAGAACTGAGTATAAAAGCAGATTTGTTTTGTCAAGCTGCGTTTTTGTTTTAATTTTTGAAGGGTGTTTGTTAGGGTCTATGTTAAAAGAATGGCATTATCTGACATTTAATTTGGTGTCTAAAAGGGACCAAAAGAGGTTTTGGCATTACTTCAGTAGGACTAACGTGAGACCTTTCTCTCACACATCCACAGTCCTTTAGCGGATGTTTCTAAACGCTACTTCAGTTGTTTAAGTTAAGGTGTTCTTGGTCAGGTGAATCTCATGAAAACATGCCTGGGTCATGTTTCACCCCAAAAGCAAAAACAAATAAATAAACAATAATACAAAGATATTTTATTTTGCCTAAGGAAGAAAAAGTCTTATGTTATTTACGTGACAATCAAGCACATTTACACCAAATTCTGTTCTGAATTATGATTCTCATTATTGCAATATAGTAAAAAAATACAGTGAAACTAATAGTATAATACAGTGATTAATTTATGACTTAATTAAAAATAACACCATCTATAAAGGCAAAAATATATACTACACTCTAAAAAATGCTGGGTTGTTTCAACCTATTTTTGGGTCAAATATGGACAAACCCAACCGTTGGTTTAAAATGTTGTTTATATGTCTATGTGGGGTTTTTAATATGCTTTAAGACAAACCATGTGCAAATTCATAAGTCAACACCATTGCTGAGTATGTTCTCCTTAAAACGGCAGTGAACCGAAGACAGTCTCAAAATTGCGGTTTGAAATCGCTGGTGTTTCTGACGTCACAAACTGCCTTGTAACCAATCAGGTCAACGTGTGATCATCAACGAGTGGATCTCTGAGCTGGTGCGAGTGAGTGGAGGCGGGGCTAATTTGCATATTCATAGAACCGCTTGTACTAAATGAGGCACGGGTGTAGTTACATACATTCAAGCTATTTTAAGGCACGAAGAAAAAAAAATCAAGGAAAAACCACTTAAATATGTCATTTTGGTGATCAAAGATGAGTTTTAACTAAGGGATGCAATTATCGACTACAGGGGGGCGTTACATTTTTAAACCCAACAGTTGGGTTTGTCCATATTTGACCCAAACATGGGTTGAAACAGCCCAGCATTTTTTAGAGTGAACATTGATGTATAAATATTTCACAATTTAAGTATGTAAAATGTAAACAATATTCCCAGCTTATATTATATTATTTTATGAATTGTTCCCAATTCATTTTATATTATATTATAACTTGAGGGGAAGGTTTGGTTTAATTGAAATCGCAGTGTTCTTAAGAAATAGCCTTTCAGTTTTGTTCAAACAAAATATAAGTCCTTATTTAAATCTTTTTGATATTGGGGTGGAATCTGGCATTGTTCTTGACAGATTTCATCACCCTCTGATTTGGTTGATCTTAAGAAGAAACAACGAGCTGGTGTTTCTTCGTTCTTTTGTACATTATTCATAATATTCATCGAGTCCAAGACAAATAGACTGACAGTAAACTGCGCTGACTGATGGTGACACGTGCGCAACGGTTGAGCCCAGACCTGGAGTTCAATCTCAGTTCATCAGCAGATTGATAGAGGCATTGAAAGCTTCAATATGTTTCTCCATGTACTGACGTCTTACCCGGAGCTCACGGTTTCTCAAACGGGCCCTTAAGGGGGACAGGAAGGGAAGATAAACCTGATATCAAATGGACACATCCTTCTCATGATCTACAGAGACAAATATTTATCATCATCAATAAGGAGCACCTCATCGTGCCTGAGAGATCACACTCAAGCAGTTATTAATGATAATGTCACTTTAGTTCTGACGACGTTGTCTTGAATTAGGCTTGAATTGAAATCCAAATGTACGGCAGCTGATTCCCACCCTGCTTGGCCTTTTGCACATTTTGGTCTTTTTTGTACCAAAATAGTTCACCCAAATATTTTAATTCTCTCATCATTTAATCACCAATAGACATGTTTTTCAGCTTTTTTGCTCATAAAATAAAGCAAAACAACATTGGACCCCATTGACTTTCATTATAAGACAAAATATATTTTTTTTATCTTTTGTGCGCAGACAAAAGGTCATTCAGGTTTGTAATGCCATGAGGGTCAGTAAATGATGACCGTTTTTTCATTTAATCTAAACTGTTTCTTTTATGTCTTAATGATTTTCTGTGTTTGTGTATTTTTGCTCCACCCGTCTCACGTCTGCCTCAGGTTTTCTCAGGCAATATGAATGTGACTCATTAGTTTGACACTTTGTGTTGTCAATGGTAGATTGGTTTGATCATCTGTGACGTGTTTGAAACTGTAAACTGATCGCTGCTCTCTGTGAGAGCGCTGTCTGCTGATCTAAGAGAACCGGTTTCAGATCCTGCGCTTGACTTCACACTGTTTCAGCGGTTGACTTAAAGGGAAATATGTCTATAAGAGCTTGTTTGTGGGCAGAACGGACGTCTCCTTATTCAGTTCTTCCTCTGATGTGCTCCACAAGCATTCTATTAAGGACTGAAGTACATGCATTCATTTCACCCTAAAGCACAAAAGCAAGTCATTTTCACATGGGTGAAATGTTATATTACCAAATACTCATGTAATGTGTCCATTTCTGGGGGGGGGGGGGGTTTAATTAAACAAATGTGCCTTCTTTCCAGGGATCTTCCTTCTTTCGCCTATATAACTATTTATCTCTTTCTCTCTCAAATGTCTTTTTCTTGGTTGTATTTTCTGTGCCGCCTGTCACTTGCATGCAAGTTACTTCATATACTTGACAATCACGTCCACCGGTGTCTCGTTAAAATAAAAATGGAAATGCCCTTTTGATCTTTAAGATTGACAATTTGTTTCATTTATTCTTTTTTTATATATTCTACTGTCTGTCATGTCACAAAAATCATAAAAAGTCTTTTTAATAAACTCTGAAATTCTTAATGTATGGAAAGGATTGTTTGGCATAAAAAAATTCTTTCACATTGCATTGCTTCAAAATGGTAATGACAGCTAATTATGTCAAATAATTTGTTGCATTTTATTTTCTAAGGACAATGCATTATAATTAAAAAAATTAAACTTGAGTCATTAGTTGTTGTTTTTGTTTTTTGTTTTGGACACTTTTGAAATAAAATCTTTATATTTTGACTACTTTAAAATAGGCAAAAAATACCTTCCATAACTCTCAGATTTATTATTATATTTGGTATATTTTTTTTTTACTGATATTGAAATAACAGATCTATGGACTGTAAACACAGAAATCATTCTAGAGGACAACAGTGAACATTTACTCAAGAACTTTTATAATTTCACAGTATTGAATCCGAAGCAAACGGGCTAGACCATAAATTTATTGTGACCATAAACCTCTGAATGTGAGTCCCAGCATGCCTGTGACATCATGTCCGTACTGGGCTGTGGTGGTGTTAAATTAAAACGTCCCTCTTAATTCATTCTTGTTTTACCTTCATTTGTTTTAATGTATTCCACATTCTCCGAGCCGTTTGAAAAGGCAGCGCGGGTTGCTGGTTTGATTGGACGAAATGTGGCATTTTTATGGGTTTAGTCTCTTCCTGTAGTACATGCTCTGAGTAATGATGCTGGAGAGGCCAATTACTACTTCTTCATAAACCTTGCCTTACTATCATGTATTTTTATTTATTTAAAATGCACTTCTTATTCTGCATCTTTTTAAAATAAGTCTCATATTTGCTCATTAAAAATGTCACGAAAGTCTTGACCAGAATTCCAGATGCTACTTTTCAACGGTCCATCCATCAATCTCGTAGAAGGGCGCCTTCCCTCGGGACTTACAGGACCTCCAGCCTCACCTGCATTCATTATGTCCTACCTTTATGCCCTGCTCTGTTGATTAGATGAAGGAGGATATTGATCCACACCTTCTGCACAATATAGACCTAATCGAGCTCAGCACGGGACGAGAACACGGACTATAGCCAATCTGTGTTTTAGGATAAAGGTTAAACTACTTGGAACAATATAGATAATATGTTTGACTTAGAGTAAATATCAGAGGAAAAATATGGAAGTTTTGTGTTTAATAAAGATTGATAAGGACTTCAGCTCACCAAACTGGCTGTTTTTTCATGCAGACCATCTCACCATCTATTGATCAACTGTGAGACAGCTGCCGCTAGAGTATTGCAAAGCGAGAGCCAGGACAACATGTCATTGTTTGATTTATGACTGTGCTTCTCTACATGACACTGTATTAAAACCGTCTTAATCATATTCTGCATAGAGGTTTGAAATGCTTTTTATCAGAAAGTGTTGATAAGCACAGGTATTGACCCATGAGATTCGTTTTTAGGTTCACCTGTACACCTGAGAATAAAAATGAATAATGACTAGTTGCACACAAAGCTAATATGGCTGTATGATATCATTGATATGTAATATGGAGTTGACAGTCATGGACATCATCATCTACTTTCATTAGGCCAGAAGAATAAAGCATACGACGAGTTTGGAACACCTTGAGTGAACGATGACTAAACTTTCATTTTGGGGTGCACTATCCCTTTAAGGTGTGTGTGGGGGTGTGTGTTCACGTAAATTATGGGAACAAAATGTCCCCACAAAGAAGGCAATATCGGAAATCCTTGTCCTTGTGGGGGAAATGTTTTGGTCCCAATGAGGAAAACAGCTTATAAATCATACTACAGTAAGTGCGGTTTTTTGAACATTTACATGCAGAAAGTTTTCTGTGATGGGTAGGTTTATGGTTAGGGGATAGAAAAGTTTCAGTATAAAAATCATTATGTCTACGGAAAGTCCCAATAAAACATGAAAACACAGCATGTGTGTGATTTTCACCTGGCCACAAAGATTTATTTCTGTGTTCACCTGTAAATCAAGTCAATAGGTTTATATGACTTTTCCGATAAATAATGTTCTTAAGGCATTGTAAATTCGATGATTGATGCTTAATGTGTCTGTTCATTGTGGCATTAGTCAATTGTTCATTTTGATAAATAATAGCTAAACTGAACTATTGATTTTGCTGTTCCTAATTGAATTACTAGATCAGCAGATTTATTTTTT